CAGGCTGCCTTCTGTGAAAGGGGCAGCCAGTTTCCCTTTCTACCGCAGTGGAGGCCTGATGGAGCCCTTGGCAGCGGTGGTGACAATGACGGTAAGGGTGCGGTGGGGGGGCTAAGGTAGGGAGAGGAAAGGGGGTGTGGGTGTGTGGCTGCCTATTGGCCAACTAATCAGCTGATCGGCAGGCTGGTAGGAAGAATGGAAAAGCCATAGGATGGCTTCCCCCCCCCCTTTGTATGGGGGACAAATAAAAATGGGGAAATATTCATCCCTTTGTATTCATGGGGGTCTCTGGAACCCATGAATATGAAGGGATGAATATTTAACAAATCAGCGATTTTAAACGAATATCGCCATCCCTTTTTTTTAATTTGTCCCCATGTCTAATGGGCATATACTCTTTGGCTCAGTTGCTTTTCTGAATGAACAGTGTATTTCCTGGTGCTTTACCATCATGTGTTTAATGACAGGAATGAAGCAGGATTACCCGGCAAAATGGTGAGTCGTTCCCATCTCTAATTGTGTGGGTTGTGCTGCATTGAACTTTCCTTTCACTTCTGTGCATTTCTGTACTAGACATTCTGTTGGCTTAAATGTAATTGCATCATTAGTGAAAGCGCTACTTTTACATGCAGAGTACTGCTGCTTAAATTGTTAAGTTTGTTCCTTTCATTTCTAAGGTTACTTCTCTTTTTCCTGATGTAACCTCTACCGTTTTTTCTTCCCCAGTGCTTTTTTAAAAATAATTTAAAAACAAAAATTGTTTTCATGGTGTGCAGAGGTGTTGCCCTAAAAATCAAAACTGCTTTTAAAAAGATGCTTCAGAGGTGCAAGGAAAGTATTATTGAAAAACCGACAGCTTGGGACATTGTTTACATTACAGCCACTTGTTTTAGAACAAAAGCTAATGATAAGCTAACAGGGGCAGAAGTGGCTCATTCAGTTTCATGCTGGTTTTTGAAGAAAGGAGTAAACAATAGAGCGCTGATATAATGAGAACAGAGAACAAGAGAAAAAAATGGAATGCATTTTAAAGTAATGCTTGTGTTAATTAAAAAAAGAGATAGGACAAATTAGATGTAGAAACCTGTATTAGACTAAAGAGAATTGTACAATAGAAGCTTTAACAGAATCATGTAAAAGTAGAAAAAGATGAAGGTCATTTAAAGCTGTTTGTTGAATGATGAACAAGCAGAGAAGAAAAACAAAGGTGTCATTTGTTTTTTAACCCTTTACTGGGATAATGTCAGCTATAACAAATTATAAAATCTATTCTTTGTCTGGGAGACCTATAAATCTCTGTGGGAGTCCTGGGGTTGTCAGGTATCCTTACCAGGTTCTGACATTCTGGTCTCCCAGCACTATCTCTTGTTTTATTTTGCATTGCCTCATCGTACAGTTTTCAAGGTAAGAATAATTTAGCAGTGGTTTACCATCACCACCTTCTGTGGAGTGCTAAGAAAAGTTAGCTTGAATGTAACTGCTGTTGTCTATGAAAGATCCTCCATTTGTGTCACCTTCAGATAACAGTAGCTATCCCTCCAGATTTTTCTCTGCCCCATTTACAATTGGAATTATCCATTTATTTCTGCCGATGTGGCTGTTAATCCTGAAGAGGGTGGCTAGATCTTAGCATGGTGCCTTAGCTGTGAATATCCCACCTTGGGTGACCCTTTTAGGAGTCAAGACTCATGATGGAGTCTAGCCTTCTGGTGGCTTTGCTGTCAGCTTCTCTAATACACTTATACCTTCTCACCACATTAAGGTGTGCATCCAATAAGGGGATACAACAATGTTATGTTTACAGGTCACTTCCTTCTTATGTGATCCTGTGAGTTTTTCTCCTTGCTTCAAGGTGGCAATGATGTTTCTGTTGGGATTGAATGGGTTTTTGTGGATTTAATTTCTGTTTCTTAAAAAAAAATGGGTGCACTACCATAAAATACAGGAAGTGTTCCTTCTTCCCTGCATGAAGCTGCAAACAGTGTAGTGTCATTCTGATCAATCGGCCTGTCCTATTGTGCTTCTTCTGTGGTTGTGAACTTCGAGGAAAGATGTTAGTTTAGCGCTGCTAAATTTTGCACAAAAGGCAGAAAAGAACAATGGGGGAAGAAAGTCTTTTTGTCTCATTATTGTGCTGCAAAAGCTCTCTTGAACACTTAAGAAGGCTTGTTATCTGATGAGATTTCTTCACATTCCTAGGCTGTATAACAAGCTGTTTGGAATAGGGACAGGGCCATATGGTATTTGCTGCCTCAAAAATACAGCATCCATATTTTACCTTATGCTATGTATGTGGTGGAGAAATGTCTGTGTCCTTTTACATGAATCTTGGAAAAGTTGGACTAAAACTTCCCCAAATCCTTCAGACTGGGAAATTCTTGGAACAGTAATAAAAACAAAACAAAACAAAAAGTAATTTCACAACACACTTTTTCCCCCTCAGTTGGTGATTGTTATTTCTCTGGAAACATCTTAAACAGGTCTCTGTTCCTCCTCAGCTAATTCAGGCCTGCCATTTTACTAAAATGAGAGGGGGACACTCAAAAATGAGTGATCTGGCTCCCGCTGGGATAGAGATGAAGCAGCCGGCCTGCGACATGATTATGCCGTGTTACTTTCATTTCCCCAGTTGAGCTGCTGCTTTCAAGTCCACTTCATAAACTTTCATAATGAGCAGGCTGTACCTTGGTAATTAAAATGATTAAAATCATTACTGCACATCATCAGAGGACAGAGACATCCCTTTCAGAAACTATAATAAATTACTCCAGTGGAAGCTGTGAATCACAGAGTGGATTTTCTTGAAGATGCCTCACAAAATATCCTTTTCCTTGAAATAAAACCATTGTTTCCTCTGCCCGTTTCCTGTTTAAATAAGGGGCAGAGTGGTGTCAGAAGAAGAAAAATCTACTTACCTGAGAACATCATCATATGTTGAAAATTTTGAGGAATCTTTTGTTTTCGGCCCAAGTTGAGAATGAAAGAAATTGGGTATACGTTACAGGCTCTTGCTATGAAAATTGCCACCTACACCATTTGGAGTAAGAAGCTGAGGAAAACAAGGAGACAGAAACAACAAAACTAGACCAAGGTGTGTTCAGTGCATGATCCAGAATAAGTAGAGGAATCATTAGTTTCTATGACTGGGTAATGGTGGTAAAATCAGCAGGAATATTTTTTTATTGCTCACTGACATCTACTGTACCTCTTTCCTTGGGATTTTTCCTCTCTTCTCCGAAAATTCCCCTCCCACTCCCCACCTCAGCTACTCTGAATTCATTTCTCATCTCTGTCAGAGAAAATGGGTCCCTCATTCAATTTCTGTGGATGGGTAGGGAAACCCTTGCTAGAAATTGTTCAGAAACCAGCAGTATTTTTCTAAAAAGTAATTCAGGAGGATAAATGCACTTTGGTACATGATTACTGTCTCTTTTTCTCACCGTTCTTATTGCCTCTGTCTAGTGCTCTCCACTCTGGTGGTCTCCTCTCCCCCTTTTGATTATTTTTGTAGAGCTCAGAAAATAGAGCTGGTGTTCTCATTATCTCTCTGTGCATCTAATGCCAAAGCTGTTTGGACAAAATAAAGTTGTTTTAGGCAAAAAGAAGGGGGGGGAAAGCAAAATTACACCTCTTAACTGCAGACAGACATCCTGCTGGTAGCAGGTTTCCTTTAGAAGATGATCAGACACTCCTTTGCCACTATAAAAGCTTTAGCCCTGCTGTGGATGTGAGAAGAAAGCAACCCATGGTCGTGTCTAAAGATATTAGCTTCCTGTGACTTTAAGGAATGTGCAGATTTAAACCCAACTACTCTTCTGAAGACTGAAGAAAGTAAGAAAAACCACTGAGCCAGACAGGTACAATCTAAACCAAATCCCTTATGAATACACAGTGGAAGTGAAGAACACATTTAAGGAACTTGATTTGGTGGACAGAGTGCCTGAAGAAGTATGGCTCATAACATTGTACAGGAGGCAGCAACAAAAACCATCCCAAAGAAAAGGAAATGCAAGAAAGCAAAGTAGCTTTGCAGAAGAGAGAAGGGAAACAAAATGCAAGGGAGATAGGGAAAGTTACAGAAAATTGAATGCTGACTTCCAAAGAATAGCAAGGAGAGACAAGAGGGCCTTCTTAAATAATCAGTGCAAAGAAATAGAGGAAAATACTAGAAAGGGAAAAACCAGAGATCTGTTCAAGAAAATAAGATATATTAAAGGAACATTTTGTGCAAAGATGGACAAGATAAAGGAGAACAAGGGTGGAGACCTCACAGAGGCAGAAGACATCAAGAAGAGGTGGCAAGAATATACAGAGGAATTATACCAGAAAGATTTGGATATCCCAGACAACCCAGATAGTGTGGTTGCTGACTTTGAGCCAGACATCCTGGAGAGTGAAGTCAAGTAGGCCTTAGAAAGCACTGATAACAACAAGGCCAGTGGATGTGATGGCATTCCAGTTGAACTGTTTAAATTTTAAAAGATGATGCTGTCAATATGCCAGCAAATTTGGATAATTTATTTATTTTATTTATTTATTGCATTTCTATCCTGTCTATCTAGTCAACGACCACTCTAGGTGGCTTCCAACACATAAAACAACAATCCAACAAAATTACAAAGGTTATCACTCAGCAGTGGCTAGAGGATTGGAAAAGATCAGTCTACATCCCAGTCCCAAAGAATGGCAGTGCCAAAGAATGCTCCAGCTACCATGTAATTGCACTCATTTCACATGCTAGTAGGGTTATGCTCAAAATCCTCCAAGGTAGGCTTCAGCAGTATGTGGACCGAGAACTCCCAGAAGTACAAACTGGATTTCAAAGGGGCAGAGGAACTAGAGACCAAATTGCTAACCTGTGCTGGATTATGGAGAAAGCCAGAGAATTCTAGAGAGGTTTTCCAGAGTGTTGTTTTTTTTTACTTCATGCAGGACATCAGGAACTCAGAAACCCAGAGCTTCAAATTAATATTTTTTCCACAACATAATCCTGGTGTCCATGTTGGCTGGGGGATTCTGGGAAGTGCAGACCAAAAAAGTAATATTTTCAAGGCATAGCAGTACATCCTCTGACTACTATGCATAACTTACCACTGCACAGAATATCTAGAAGGGCCTATTAGAGCAATATGGGTAGTGGTGTGTGTTTCTTTGAGTAATATGTAGGAATACACATTTTGGTGCTGTAATCCAGTCAATAAGCAATCATGAAGGGAAATGTTCATATCTGGACATAGTTGGTAGCAGGGGATTGGTGCAGCCTATGGTGGATTCTAGGGCAAGAATTTATTGTCCCTCTACCTTACCAGCTTGCCTACTCTTGCTCTATCCAGTGTTAAAATTGAATCCTTGAGAAATGCTAAAGAGATGGACCCTGATGTACGTAAATGAATATATAAATACATATTGAGATTTTTAGTGTACAGTTTTCATACCATATATTTGCTGGTACTTGAAAGGATACAAATGCTCCAAATATAAACAGTGCATTGAAGATGTGATTTTGGAATGTGAACAATGCTAATCCCATATAACAGAAGATAACATTTTCAGCCAAAAAGTTCATGAACTCGAACAACTGAAACGAGAGAGAAACAAAAATCATTATCATCTTAGTTGCATTTGATGAATGGCCATTATCTCTTCAACAAGGAACATCATTTTGGGATAAATAGACATCACATGGAACAGACATGGAAAACATGATGCTCGAAAACATTAAGTATTTAGAGTTTTAAATACATTGAATCTTAATTGTCAGGGTTGTAATCAGTGATTTCAGCTTTACTTCAGAAATTGTAAAAACATATTATCCTGCTTGGTAGGAAGAAGAGGAGAACAGCCATCATTTTATACTGGCCACATATCAAGTGTCCCTTCTACCGTGTTTTCCCCAAAATAAGAACTAACCTGAAAATAAGTCCTAGTATGATTTTTCAGGATGCTCATAATATAAGCCCTACCCCCAAAATAGCTAGTTAAGTAAAACCTCCACCATTGTGCAGCATTGTGCAGCAACCAGAAGAAGGTGACAACTGCATTTGAATCAATGTAGGTTGTTCTTAAAAAAAATCCCCTGAAAATAAGCCCTAATTTGTTGTCCTTAAAAAAAAATCCCCTGAAAATAAGCCCTAATGCATTGTTGGAGCAAAAACATTAATATAAGACCCTGTCTTATTTTGGGGAAAATATGGTACTTTAGGAGGTATTGTTGTTGTTGTTGTTGTTGTTGAATGCATGTGTGTATCAGAGTATATGGCTTTACTACACATACAGCTTATGAATGGAACCACATTTACCACACTATTCAAAAGATATGACAGCACATAAATGAGAATACATGTGTGTATCAGTCTATATGGCTTTAGTACACATACAGCTTATGAATGGAACCATATTTACCACGCCATTCAAAAGATATGACAGCACATAAATGAGCTTACTTGTTCATGGAAAAACGGTTAGGTATGGAGTAATTTCCAATTTTCCAAGAATATATATCGGATAAAATAACAATGATTGCAATAGGACTGAACTTTGTGCAGAAAAGTTTCAGTCCCAGGCAGCTTAAGGGTGTGTTTAAAAGGTTTATTCCACAGTATGATGTGCTTTTGGAAACAGGATGGTTCACCCCTTTTTCCAGTGACCACATAACATGTGGGGAATTGTGAACCAGGACAGCACTTATCCCTGCCCTACTCACACATTTTGGATCCCTGGCAGAAGCTATTCATTCTGATTCATTCCAGGTCAATTTGGTCATCTAGATGCACTAACACTCAAAGCCCTTCACATCATAGCTTTTGCTTCTCACATAAGTGAAAAATAGCAACAAATGGTATTACTGAAACTTACAATAAAATAATATGCCAAAAGAAGCATCACAATTAAAACATGATGTTGGTATTGTCCAATTTGCTGTCTGTGATAAAAGACGTAACAGAAAGACCTTCCAGGACAAAAGTTGGCCACTTTCTATGTAAAATTCTCATTGCTGCTCTCAAGCGAATATTTTATCATGTTTCTTTGTTTTATTGACTTGATCAGTGATCATGATGACCTTTCAGTAATAGGAGAAGAAACACATGCTGTGCAACTTCAGACATGTAACACGGAATCATGTCATGCTGAACATCATTTATAATTCCCTTACTACAAATGCACTATCAAGTACTAAAGAGACCACTATATTGTCCACTTAGTTTGCTGATGCCTAGTTGTTGTTATGTGCTGTCGAGTTGCCTCTCAGTTATGGTGACCCTAGTAATGAGCGATCTGAAACTTCAGAAGAGTAAAACTGTTACTTAATGGAAATTTACAGAAATCTGTTAAATAGATTAAAAGTCATGGTTAAACTTTATTAGAGACTAAGAAACAAATATAACCATTAGATGCTATGTTTATTGCAGCATGAAATTTAATCCTTCAAAACCATCGTGCAGAAAAATTAAATATAACTATATGTATGTAGGAAATCTAGGTGAAAAAAATTATCTGCACCTTTTGTGTGTGTGTGTGTGTGCATACTAATCTTGGGTAACGTGACCCAACAAGTATAATCCCTGTTTTACCAATACCATCAGACTATTACTTATTCCATGGGGTCATGAAGAATCAGAAACGACTAAACGACTATATATATTGCCCGTATATATATTGCCCACAATCATCTGAGTTGAATTCACTCATTCCTGTCCATTTCAGTTCACTGATGCCCAGGATGTTGATGTTTATTCTTGCCATCTCCTGCATGACCACCTCCAGCTTACCAAGGTTCATAGATCTTACATTCCAGGTTCCTATGTAGTATTTTTCTTTGCAGCAATGGACTTTCCTTTCACTTCCAGGCACATCCTCAGCTGAGCGTCCTTGCGGCTTTGGCCCAACCACTTCATTAGCTCTGGAGCTACTTGTACTTATCCTCCACTCTTCCTCAGTAGCATGTTGGAGGCCTTTCAACCTGAGGGGCCCATCTTCCAGCGTCATATCTTTTAGCCTTTTGTTTCTGATCATGGGGAGTTCTTGGCAAAGATACTGGAGTGGCATTGCCAGTTCTTACTCCAGGTGGATTGCGTTCAGTCAGAACTCTCCACTATGACCTGTCCGTCTTGGGTGTCCCTGCATGGCATAGCCCATAGATTCTCTGAGTTACTCAAGCCCCTTCGCCACGACAAGGCAGCAATCCATGAAGGATGGATTGCCTATGCTAAGTTTAGACAGCCTATGCTAAGTGCAATGGCTGTCGCTTTTTGAAATAGATTTGTGTTACTACTATTACTTCTGAATTGATTCTGAATTTGTTCTGCTCATGAATTAACCATGTTTGATTTATCTATTTATTTTTCACGTGTTTACCACATTGAGTCTTTTAGAGTTCAAAACTAGGATTAAAAATATTAAAAATAATAAATGCATATATCGTCATGTGAAAAAGAAAGTACACCCTCTTTGATTTTTTTTTGTTTTGTTTTATATATGAGGACATAATAAAAGTCACCTGGTCCTTAGTAGGTCTGAAAATTAGTTAAATACAGCTTTAAATGAACAACACATGACATATTACACCGTGTCATTATTTATTTTACAAAAATGTAGTCAAAATGGAGAAGCCATGTGTGAAAAATTACTTGCTTACTGCTTCCCTAGGAATTAAGAAGTTAAGTAGCAGTCAAGTGCTGCTAACTAAATACCATTGATCCTTAGCAAATGTGACCACCTCTATAAAAGCCAAAGTTTTAGCAGTTTGCAGTTCTGGAGCATTCAGGTGTGTGTGAGGAAACACATCAGCAATGATTGTAGAGAAGCTGCTCATCAATCTGGGAAGGGTTCTAAGGGCAATTCCAAATGATTTAAAATCCATCATTCTACAGGGAGGAAGATCATTCAGAAGTGGAAAATATTCAAGACAGTTGCCAATCTTCCCAGGAGTGGAGGTCCAAGCAAATTCACCCCAAGGTCAGACTTTGCAATGCTCAGAGAAATGCCAAAAACCCAAGAGTGACATCTCAGACTCTACAGGCCTCAATTGGCATGCTTAATATTAATGTTCATGACAGTACAATTAGAAAAAAATGAACATGTATGTGGTTTTTTTTTGAAAGATTGCCAGGAGAAAGCCTCTTCTCTCTAAAAAGAAAATGGCAGCATGGCTTAGGTTTGCAAAGTTAGACAAACCAAAAGACCTCTGGAACAATGTCCTTTGGACAATTGGCATGCTTAATATTAATGTTCATGACAGTACAATTAGAAAAAAATGAACATGTATGTGGTTTTTTTTTGAAAGATTGCCAGGAGAAAGCCTCTTCTCTCTAAAAAGAAAATGGCAGCATGGCTTAGGTTTGCAAAGTTAGACAAACCAAAAGACCTCTGGAACAATGTCCTTTGGACAGAGAAGTGGATCAAAGTGGATCAAATTCCACATTTGGCAAAAGCCAAACACAGTATATCAGCACAAACATCACATACCAACTGTCAATCATGGTAGCGAAGGGGTGACAATTAGGAATTGTTTTGCAGCTACAGGAGCTGGACACCTTGCAGTCATTGAGTCGACTATGAACTCCTCCGTACATCAAAGTATTCTAGAATAAAATGTGAGGCCATCTACCTGACAGCTAAAGCTTGGCTGAAATTGGGTCATGCAACAGGACGATGATGCCAAGCACACCAGAAAATCTACAAGAGAATTACTAAAAAACAAAAGAATCAAGGTTTTGCAATGACCCAGTCAATGACCCAGTCAAGTCAATTGAAATACTGTGGCAGTATCTTAAGAGAGCTGTGCATAAACAAATGCCTAGAAACCTGAATGAACCAAAGCAACATTGTAAAGAAGAGTGAGTCATAATTCCTCTACAAAAATGTAATACTGATAAAGTCATACAGAAAATGATTACTTCATGTTATGGTTGCTAAAGGTGGTTCTATAAGCTCTTGAATCATGGGGTATACCTAGTTTTTCATACATGGCTTCTCCATTTTGGCTTAATTTTTGTAAAATAAATTATGACAGTGTAATATGTCATGTGTTGTTGTTCATCTGAGGTTGTATTTAATAGACATGGATATTTGTATTATTATCCCTGGGAATATGAATATTGGCACCACAGGTTCCAGGGAAAACTAGGACGTCCCCCCCAAAAAAAACAGCAGGTCCACTTACCGCTCATTGTGTGTGGCCAGCATTGTTCTTGTCACACCAAACTGGGAAGCAGCCTGGCCAGTGCTTCCCCGCCTCCCCGAGCAACTGACCCTGCTGGTGAGGAGGTGAGATGACAAATTTCCCCACTTAGCTGTTGTGTGGTCGCCTGTGCAGAGGGATGAGGAAGTTCTGGTCGGGCCACTTCCCAGATTGGCACAACAACAACAACACAGTCGTGCACATCATATGGCAAACAGTAAGTGGACCTGCTGGCTTGGAGGGATAGTTTTTCCAATTTTCCCACGCACCCGTGGTGCCGATACGATACGAATATGAATATGCATATCTAGTACTTACCTAATTTTCAGACCTGCTAAGGAACAGATGATTTTATTATGTCCTGATACGTATAAACACATAATTCAAAGAGGGTATGC